GACGTGGGGAAGAATGACTTAGAGAAAGTTCTCTCCCGAGGATGATGTCAGACCCTAAGGGCTATAGGTAACTGGTTTTTCTGTAGGTCAATTTTCTAGGAAGCAATGATGATAATATTCTTGGTTTTACCTCTTATTTTGAACCAACTCAGATACAATATATTTTTCAATTAAAAATGATTTACTTCATAAATAAAAACTACATAATTTCATTGTAGGAAAATTAGGAAATGTATAATATCAAAAATGGAGGAAATAAAGTACTTATCTTATTAACAGAGGCTATCCTAGGCTCCTAGAGCAATTTAGAATCCTTTTTATGACAAGCTCTGAATGAAATCCAGCAAGAATAATGGCCCAGAAACACAGTTAAATTTTATAATTCTTTTTCAGATTAACTGGTAGTGAAATTTTTATCTTCCACTTAAAGAATTTCTAAACATAGCAAACTCAATGCATTTACCATCCAAAAGTATTTGACATTCATAAAATAATGGAGTGTGAGGTTATATTATATATCCATAAATTTTACATTTGAATATTTTATCCAAAAGAAAAATCTTACTCATGACATGTGAATGCATGATAGTTTACTTTGAAATTTTCAATTATGCTTTAAATTATTGCTAGGTCTAATTTAAATTCAATTAACTTTCTTCTTCCCATTGTTTTCAAAGGGCTATTTTGCTCTTTGTATTTTTCACGTAACTCTTCAGTGACACAAATGAAAAATCTAGTTAACATATCATGAGCTATGATGTTTAAGGCAATGAATTCAATCAACTTAAAAAAAGAAAACCTTCATATAGCTACTATGGAAATCAGTATGAAGGTTCCTCAAAAAAACTAAGAATTGATTTACCATATGATTCAGCAAATCCTCTACTGGGTATTTACCCCAAAGACTTGAAAACTCATATCTATAAAGATATTTGCACACCAATGTTCATAGCAGCATTATTCACAGTGGCCAGGACATGGACGCAACTGAAGTGTCCTATGATAGATGATGGCTAAAGAAGCTGTAGTACATATATACAATGGAATATCACTCAGACATAAGAAGAGATGAAATACTGCCATTTGCAACAACATGGATGGACCTTGAAATAATCATACTAAGCAAAATAAGCCAGACAGAAAAATTTGAAAATCACTTGATATCACTTACATGTGGAATTTAAACCTCAAAGCAACAAATGAACAGGACAAACAAACAGAAACTCATGGACATGGACTATAGACTAGTGGTTACCAGAGGGGTGGGGGTGGCAGAGGAGGGGGGAGGTAGACAGTTAAAGGGGGTCAAATATAGGGGGCTAGGGAGAGAGTAAAGTGGGTAAAGGGGATCAAATATATGGTAGCTGAAGGAAACTGGACTTTGGGTGGTAAATACACAATAGAATATACAGATGTCAAATTATAATGTACACCTGAAAATTATATAATTGTATTAACCAATGTTACCCCAATAAATTAAAAAAAAAAAGAAAGAAAAAAACTCCTTCAGCTATCAAGTAAGGCTAAATCACATATTTACAAAAATACAGCATCTTATTCGACATTAGTTGTTTAAGGAGTCCGTTTCCCACTTAGTTTAATACAAGTGGTAATGAGAGTGGGAAGGTGGAGTGCATGATAGATGGTCTCTGGGGTGACAAATATAACAGTAGACTGAAAGGTGACTGGGAAGTTACTATCCCACCTCACAGGGTAGGCCTTCCATCAGGCAACAACACACAGTGTTCCAATTCTGCTTAGATTTCTACATTGGGTATTAAAGGAAGGTAGGGATGGAAGGAGTAAAAATGTAATTCCATGGCTCATGTTTTGCCCCACCCCTGCTTTCTCCTTTACTTCACTTATAGATTAATTAACAATGGTTACTACAAAGGCATAGAGCTGGGGATATTAGGTGTGAGGGATGAAAAACAGCCAACAGACATTCATGTCTGGTGGGAAAATTTTTTTGAGGGATAAAAAAAGGTGGAAACCAGAAAGCTCCTTAAGGTAGAAGGCTCCAAACTTCCTCAAGAGGGCAGAGAAAGGGGAAATATTATGGAAAGGAAGATAAAAAATCTCAGCCTTATAGGCAGTCTGTGATAAAAAGGAGACTGTGGTGTCTCCTTCCTCAAAGACACATGGGAAGTGGGAGACCTTGAGTAGAATGGGATTAGAAGGCCGATTGCCCAGCTGCTTAAGCAGGTGCTAGGTATCATGCTACCAGCCTCGTGAAATAGGGACCAGTCATGGTGATCAGCAACTACCTGTTGGGGGCGCTATAGAAATAGCAGGAGACCTTGCCTCGCCAATAGAGTCATTTTCCTGAAGTATGAATCTAGTATGCAATAGAATGTCTAATTTCCTGTAAGGATGAAAAAGGTGTTTTCCAGGAAGCCAGGTGAATCTACCAAAAGCGTTTTAAAATATTCTGTTAATAAATATTCATTGACTGCGAACCCTGTATTAGGAAAGGTGCTGAGAGGAAGGAAGACAAACACGCAGATGATCCCATTCAACTGGTAACTCTGGAGAAGCACAGGAGAGCAAGAAAACACAAATGAGAGTGAAGAGTTAGCTGAGAAGGAAGCTGGGAAGGTTATTACAGAACCTCAGCTTGAGGAGTCAAGATATGAATTCGAGCCCAAGTTTTGCCACTTACTATCTTTTGACATTAGTCAAATTATTTAACCTTTCTGAGCCTCAGCTTCCTCAACTGCAAATTGGGGTAAACCACATGTTTTTTGTAGGGCTGCTGCCTGAGAAGTGTCGCACTGGCCATGCCTTTAAGTGAGGCCTTCACTTGTTATTTATAGAACTGGCCTTCCAAGTGGTTTCAGAACACTCTCAGTTATCAGGGTAATGTTCTAAAACTCAGATCTAGTTGTCTCATCCATTAGAACTCTGAATGCCTGCCCCATCTACAAAACCAGTACTCCACGAGTGACACAAATGGAAAATCCAGTTAACACATCATGAGCTATACTATTCAAGGCAAAGAACTACATCAACTTAAACATAGCCCCTTATTACATTTGGCCTCCACCCCTGGTGGTTGTGAGCAGACAGGGGAATACTCAGCTGAACATCAGTCTTAGCAATGCTAGTTTTATATAACTAAGTTGTCACTTAGAAGATCTGCTCTACACGAAAGGTCTCATTGCTAAAGAAAAGTGAAAACCATTTGTCTAGAAGCAGTCATCTAACACAGCATGACATGCAAAGCCCTGCACAATCTGACCCATATTATGAACTCAGCCTCTGTCCCCACGTAACTTACCTCTTGGTCACGTATGACAATGCATTGCACACTCTTGGCCTGGAATGTGCTCCTATTCCACCCTCACCTTGTTAATGTCTATTTATCTTTTAATAATTGTCTCAGGCAACTCATTGCCTATGTTCTGAGGAGACTCTATAATTGTGAAAATTGAGGAGACTCTACAATTGTGAAAATTGAGAACATCTGTTTGCTTACTATCTTCCCTCGTCCAATGAAGCTGAAGGGTCTTTGAGGGGCAGGGGCCGTGTCTAATTCATGTTCATAGCAGGTACCCAGCACTATGTCTGACACAAAGTGGATACTCAGGAATTGTTCGTTCTTGCTGAATGAAATCACTGATACTTAGGTGCATTTGTAAGTGGTTGACAAATGCTATTCAAATTGTATTAAGAGATCTTTTTTTTTTTTTTTTTTTCATTTTTAGAGAGGCATTTGGTGGTGCATGGCAGGGCTGTGGGTGCTCCTGACTTTGGGTAGCATTTTAAGTGGCTTATTAACAAAAAGGGCATCCTCATCAAATAGGTAGAAGAACTGAGGTAGAGAAGGAGAGGAGGGAGTAAACAAGGAGAACATTCACTGAATGTGTTGCCCACTGTTCTAGAAACATTCACACCCAGTATCTCATTTCATCTTTATAACGTCTCTGCAGGAGAGGTGTCATTATCATCATTTTATTAAGCAGGAAATAGAGAGCTCAAGAGGATAATAAATAGGCTCATGAGGACATGGGTAGTAAAGAAAGGATGGAATTTGAACCCACTGTTTCAATATGCTGTATCCAAAAATTAAATTGTGCTACTTGTAAGATTTGGTACTTTAATTAAGCACAAGCTCCATTAACTGTACACATGCAAGGTGGAGACAACATCATGCCTCATCAACAACACTTGTAAAAAAATGGACATTATTACTTTATTAATATTTAAGTCTTTCTTACTAACCAGGTAAGTAATAGTGTTCTACCTTACCATTGTCAGGCCATTCCTGGGGTAGTGAGTTTAAAGGATTTATCTCAGACATTGGATTTTAACGTCAGCATGGTGAGAGGGC